TGAAACTTTTCATTATGTAAAAACTTCAATATCTTAGAAACAGTAACCAATCAGTTGTTTTAATTGTCATATTTGAATTCAGCACATCAAAATACATAATAAATAGCACATTTTATCTCTGAAGCAGACGACTTCTCAAAAATTGTAGACCAGTGTATTCTCACTATTTTCCATAGGAGGTGGTGATTTTAGCTGATTTCTCACTCCTCAGGGTAACAAAGGCATAGAGCACAGCTACTACTGTCGTCCAGAAGCTGCCTGGGTCCCTGTGCCTCTAGCCTGTTTGCAATGAGTTTTGCAGGCACAATTGAAGTAAAGTGGCATGGGAAAGTGTTCTATTGCGGAGGAAGGAATAACGCAGCCATCCCTAGAAACCTTTGGGAGAGGATTGCAGAGGAGCCCCATGGAAGTTTCATTGAGCTCTCCCAGGAGGATAAAATGGACATCCCTACGTACATAAACAAAGTGCTCCACATCCTGCCCTGTCCCGCTTGCCTCAGCCAACCGGGAAATGAAAACGCAGCTGCCATCTCAACTTGTTTGTTGTACCTCTACCTCTTCTCATGTGAGTAAATCAGTGGAAAGTTGATACCTGTGACTTACTAATTTGGGGATGGGGTGGGCTCCATCTTTACATTTAAACACTGTGAGGAAAGATGTATGCACAGACTTACCTGAGATCACTTTCCCTTCATCAGGCTCATCTGTGCTTGCCTGGTGGGACTGGCTAAACTGAGGCGGAGTCTCAAACAGATCCTGGCTTGCAGCATGGTTGGAGCCACCTGCTGCATATCCCCCTCCTCTTCCTCCATGTTCACAGTAGGAGTTTCTGTATCAGGCTTGTCTGAGGTATCTATGGTGGTCTGTGGGGTGCTGGTGGGGTCTCCAGCAAGTATGGCATGCAGCTCATTGTAAAAGGGACAGGTCTGCAGGGCACCATCAGATCAAATGTTGCGCTCACTGGCCTTGTTATATCCCTGGAGAAGTTTCTTTGCTTTCACATGGCACTGTGGCTGATCCCTGTTGTACCCCTTTGCCAGCATCCTCCATGTAATCTGTTTGTAGATGTCCATGTTTCTACGGCTGGTCCATAGCTGTGCTTGCACAGCCTCTTCTCCCCACAGGGCCAGGAGATTCAATACCTCCTGCCCACTCCAGGTAACAGTGCATGGAGCCAACACAGTAACTTGGATACAACAAGGATGAGCTGATAGGTGTATTGCAAAGGTGGGCAATCAGGAAGAGACATTTCAAAAAACATCCGGAGAGTTTTAAAGGAGGGGTAGGGAAGTGGCTTGCCGTCTCTGTGACCCCTGGGCAGTAGAGTTTACAACTGTAACCAGACCAGTCACTGCCGCAGGGAATGGGGCATTGTGGGACAGCTGCTGGAGGTCTGTTAGGGTTGACACAGGTCACACATTGTCTACACCAGAGGTCGGCAACCTATTGCATGTGTGCCAAAGGTGGCACACGAGCTGATTTACCATGGCACGCTGCTTCCGGACTGGGGTCCTGGCCGCCGGCCCTGCTCAGCCTGCTGTCAGCCTGGATGGACGGAACCCCAGGCCGGCAGCGGGCTGAGCGGGGCTGGTGGCTGGGACCCCGGCTGGCAGGGGCCGGCGGACAGAACCCCAGACCGGCAGCGGGCTGAGCGGGTCCCGCTTTATAGGCTGGGGTCCCGGCTGCCGGCCCTGCTCAGCCCACTGCCAGTCTGGGGTTCCATCTGCTGGCCACTGTAAATGTAAAATGTATTACTGGCATGCGAAACCTTAAATTACAGCGAATAAATGAAGACTTGGCATACCACTTCTGAAAGGTTGCTGACCCCTGGTTTACACTCACACTGTCAACCTCAGTAGGTCAACTAGGGCTCCCTACTGTTCAGGGAGGTAGTTTTACTGCTTCACTGTAGCAGAGCACTTATATTATCCAGAAATAAATTTGAGCATAGATACATGAACAAATAGGTTGACACAAGGTGACTTACGTTGACCTAACTTTGTAGTGTAGACCAGGCCTAAATGTGCTGGGGATGAACCCATCGCAGAGCAGCCCCTGTATTCGGGGAGGCCAACCACCCCTTCTTTTCAGATGCACTCAGTGCAGTTGAAGTTCTGGGCCCAAGTCTAAAATATCAGATGATCTGTAGTGTATTGAGATTTTGAAATGCTAATAGCAAATTGTTTGTTTTAACATCACATCTGAGCTGACCAAAGTTATAGAGATATATTTTAAAATGTTTAAACGTAAAAAATTATATTTGTTTCTCCAGTAGAATGTCACATCTCAAATATAAATAATTCCAGGCAGATATCCATTTAGAAATCTAGTATCCAAAATTATATACAGTAAGATGTGCTCTCAGTAATGATGTGTTAACTAGAAGAACCTAATTTACAACAGCTTAACAGAGCAGAATTTGGCTCCACATGCACTGTTATCTGCTAATAAAAAAACACCATGAAATTAGACAAGAGAGAAAAATGCATGATGACACAATGTACTTGGTTAATATTTCAAAATTTTACCCCATTTTGATGCATGTACTTTACGCTAACATGGGCCACAACAAGTGATAGAATGTTTCTAGTTATGCACCAAATCAGTTATGTACCCTTCTCTGCCAATTGCTTATTAAGAGTTAAAAGCGGATGTGTTAGGTAAAATTCATTTATCAAATTGGTAGACTCATTGATAAAAGTATTATTTTGTGATTTCCTATGCACACAGGTACCAGTGGGGGCCACCAAACACTATATTAAAGAAGCATAAATACATACCAATTAACAAATTAATTTACAAAGAAAAGCCAGAGATAGGAATAGAATGTGGTCCTAAGGTTTCCCACATAAGTGATTTGCCAGCTATTGTCAGTAGATGAAGATCAAGTCAGCAGGTTCTTTCTTGTCTCTGTAGTTTCGGAGAGTTTAGTTATCATAAATGTGAGGGAACACGAGCATTGGCTTGATTCAGGCATGCAAAGGGAACATAAACTCTTCCCTACACCTCTGCAGATGCATCCCAAGTGTAGCCTGAAGCACCCATGCTATTCTACTATCTGGCCTCTCTTGTACATAAACAATCAATACTACTGAGTTTGTGCAGCAGTTTTGTGATGTGTAAAGATTGGCCAGCATAATAAGGGTTGTTTCATTTATGTCCTAAACATGTTTTTAATCTATCAGTATCCAAATATATGTGTCATGTTTTGAAAACAAACACCTTGGTTTTTAGTTTCTATCTGCTTGTCTCTGTGCATCTAACAACGTCTATCATTATGACATCTAGCATTATGCTATGAGTACTTTCTACGGCACTGATGTTCTTTCTGAAATATTTCTCAGTATTTCTACCATTGTATTTAAAGAACATTTTGATTGAAAAAGCAACTCACAATCCTTCTGCAATGCACTCCAGCAAAAGTACATTTCCCCTTAGTTCCACTTTATTACTTGTGCTCCCCACTGGAGTTAAAAGAGTTGGTCGTCTCTCTGTCAATGGCTTGGCTGATTAAAAAAAAATTAGAATAATGAAAACCATCAGAAAGATATTTTTCAAACATATTTCCCAACCCAGCAAAAATCCATCTGCTTCCAATACATATGAATACTGACAATAAATATATTTATAGTCAGGTATGATGATAGCATATACATTAATATTAAAATGAGGGCTCAGTTTCATGCATATGGGCATTCCAGAAATTAGCACAGGAGTTTTTCTGTGTATTGTTCATTTAATTCAAAAATCCTTTTGTAAGAATTTGCAGAGCTACAAAGGGTTAGGGTTCTACTCAGCATACTAGAATCCTATCTGGACATAAGAAACATTGTAATGTTGGACACATACATTAAAAAGAGCCAACCTGTTTGATATTGTACTTGCATAGGCCCTGATTCTGCAATGTGATGGGTTCATACGGACCCTTACATCTGTGCAGAGCCCCACACACTTCAATTAGGCTTTGCAAAGGTGCAAGAATCATATTGCAGGTTCTGCATAGGTGCAGGAATCATATTCAACATCTGATGTTTTCTGTACTTCCACTAACACCACAAATAAGACACAGAAAAAAACTGAATCAAATTAAACCTGTTGTATTCAAAAACATAATGAGAGTGACAAGATATATTGCAGTTTAAAATATGCTTTGCTCAGAATCTTCCAGTCCACAAAGGACTTTTCTCATAAACCTCAGCCATGTCTTGTCCCTTTAAGACATAATTTTAATTTGAATGTTTCGGCAAACCTGAACTATATGATCAAGTGCTTTCTCCACAATAATAAAAATTAAATAACATGGCCAATATATAGACATAAATCTAAACCCAAATTTATACACAGATTACTATATCTGTTCTAAAATCTTTGGAACTTCTTGATTTAATTCAAAGTCTATTACAGTATTTCATAACTCCATTTTAAAATATTAATGACACAGAAATCGGATCAGACTGTTTTCTCGAAATAAACATTATAAAAATACTCCAGTATTCTACTATAATAGCTTAAAACACGGTAGTCTGCTGTGTTTTTTTTTTATATGGGGAGCAATATAAAGATGTATATGCCTTGTTTATCTGGACATAGGATTTATTGCTAAATTAAGTCATAAAGAACACATTAAAATAATTTTAGGATGTACATAGAGCATCTCAAATGCTGCTATATGAAATGTGCCTCTTCAGAAGGAAAAGAGACAGGGAAAGGGGAACATAGAAAAAGGCCACTCTACAATAAACAATCTGCCCATTTCATGCACTGCAAAAACCCACTCAAGGCTGTGAAAAATCCTGGCAAATTGACTTCTGCAGCCTTGTGTCATGTGCCAATTGAATGGATTTTTAATAACTGTACTCGATATGTCATTCTATTTGCAGGTCATTATTACCCTATTGCAGAAATCCCACCCTTATGGTTTGCTCTCTAACTAAATTTAAATTTGATGTAGACAATTAAAAGTTGTCATGCTCCTGCGATATTTTAGTTTTCAGTAATTGAGGATTAGTGTCTATAGAACCTCAGTTATGGAAAAGGCCTCAAGATAAATACAATAAAATAATAATATATTTTTACCTATTTTCTATCCATCACATAGAATGTAAAATTGTGGGGCCAGATCCTCAGCTGATGTAAATTTGTGTACCTCCATCAAAGTCAACTGAGCTAAGCAGATTTATACCAGTTGAGGATATGGCCCACAATGTAGAAAAACAGACCATTCAACACGGACTGAATTAAAGTTAATTAAAACAAAAATATCCAGAATTTTGTTTCTCTTAAGTTAATTTTACAAATACATTTAAAAGTATTAGACTTTAATTCAGTCTAGTTTTACATTTATGAAACAGATTAAAAATGAATGGTATATTAAGTAAATTATTAAATATTAAGAGCATCTGTTAAAATATTTAAAGCTACTATTAATGCTTATGATATAGCATGTAATATTGACTAGTCCCAGTGATAATGAATGTTTCCACTTACCAATTAAATTAGAGGAAAAACATAAATGAACAGTATAATACAGAAGCAATTAGACAAATAATCTGTAAAATCTGCCAGTGTGACTGGATTCATTTGCTGTAAAAGCTGAGATTTTTGTTGTGTGTCATATTTTTGACATTACATCAAAATTATTTAAGTATTTTTAAAGGATCACACTGTGCCGTCCCTTTGTAAAGTGTATATTATCACCAGTACTAATGGATATATTTATTAGAAATTGGAAAGGGGAGTCAAAGGTAAGTAGCCATGGAGGTGAAGTTAGTTAACTAAATTCTACTATGAAAGAGGGAATACCAGTGGGGATCACCATAACTCACCACCATAAAAATCAGTGTCACTCAAATTAGCAGATATAGTTTCATTCAATGAATCCACTGAAATAAACAGAATATCATGAAGAATGCATACAAGTGGGGTAAATCAGATTACTGGGCATCAAACGTGAATCTCTATGGCCAAGTCGATTTAACAATACAAGCAGAAAGCAATATGTTATTGCAGCTGTCTGCTGATTAATTCATTTGAACAGTCATGATCATTATGAACTGGTATACGCACATAGGATTGCCAATTCAGATTCGGTATTTATCATACTATAATTTTTAAATAAGTAAAATGTTACAAAATATAGGTGATCTGAGTGAGATATTATTGAAAAGGAAAAATTCAGTATTTAACGTAAAACTTCAAAGGTGAACATGGAAAGTAAAACAGCATGTATTATTTAGGACAGCTCATGTTTTTGCAAAGTATTTATAAAGAAAACTGGATATTAATATTTTAAAGTTGTATAGAATTATTTCTTATTTATTGTGATGAAGATTACAATTTCTCTGTCACATACAACTACTTAATTGTAGGCCAGCAAGTGAAAAATCTAGATAAATACAATATAAATGTATAATTAAGAAAAATAATACTTACTTGAAAACACCTTCACAGAAATAGGTTGCTTCTGCTGTATAGTCTGAGTGTGATTAAATCTCGCATAACAAATATAGTCCTCACGAGTGTCCTCTGGTTTTACATTAGAAAAATAAAGGTCTCCATTTAGACCTTGGGAAACTCTTTCATTTTGAGGCAGCCTTTGGAAAGCTAAGTAAAAACAAGGACACATTTATTTTCATTATAATACATAAAGAAATACATTAGTGATCTGTGGACCCCAGATGTGACCTACCTTCTGCCTTTTGTAATGTCTCATCTCTTTGTAAGTGCTCTCAGCTGCTTCCTTATCTCCCCTCAAAAATACGTCAGCAAAAACCACAAGACACATGCAGACAGCCCCAACCCTCTTTGCACATACTGCTCATGAGCAGCCTCTCTGCTGGCATGGCCCTTCCTGTTCTGTGGAACTGTGACGAGGAGAGACTGGATTTTATCCTCACTGAGTAACTACACTGTCTGCTGCAATTTTTCATAAGTAATTACAAATTACTTAGAACAGTAATAAAAACGGTCAAGAAATATGTTATTTATGCAGATTTAATATAAACTTACAATTATCCATCCAAAATATTATAGGTGGTGGTAAGCCAACTGGAGGGCTGCAGTGAAGTACTAGAGGATCACCTTCTCTGACATGTTTTGGTTCTACTTTTTCTTTAGTCCACAAGGGGGATCCTGTAGAAGATAATTTTCACATTCATAAACACTCTGGATTGATAAAGTTCCAGAACCCCACGAAAGAACAATATATGTAACATAATTTAAAAGGAACGGTCTTCTGACATTTACTGTACACGGATTATAACTTCTACTTCTGAGTAGTTGTGTTGTCTTTGGAAAAAAGAAAGGTTTCATTATATTGTTATTTATACGTTTTAGAGAATCATTGCTTTATTCTAAATAATCAAACAGAAAGGGATTCTTTGGGTAATCACTAACATTTAACAAGTTTGATTCTGGATAATGTAGAAAAGCAATGTATACAATTAGAAAAAACAAAGTCAGACTGTTCTAAAATGGCATTACATGTGGAGAGATTTAACAAAGACTATGGTAAAAATAAGAGGAGCTCAAGAAAATACATTTGCGCTGAAGAGCTGTGATGTTTGAAAAGTACGACAATATAATACCACAATAAATTTTAAGATTTGGGGACAGGAGGGAGATGTGTGTTTGTCTCAATATACTCCATGTTAGGTGTTTGTTTAATTAGAAAAAAAAAGTAATTACTTTGCAAGAACAGTTTTTTTTTTAAAAAGTACTCCACATCAAAGAAATATGTTAAAGATTTACAATTCTTTTTTTCTAATTGTAGTGTTTTATACACTGTCCAATTTTAAACATGACAAATGAGTCAGACATACTGAAAACCAGGAAAACATATTGGGTGTTTAACTTACTAAGGAACTTTGGAGAAAATTGGCAGCTTTTCATGCAGTATAGCACTAAACCAGAATATCAGAAACTGTACAATTACCTTCTAACAAGATCGCTTTGATGATTAAAAAGATGTCTTTTTTTTTAAAGGAAAGGAAAAAAGAAAATAATTAAACCAAAAAGTTCACAATAAAACAAATAAGTACAAATGTTTTAGGTTTGATGAATTTTAGAGTTACGCTTACTGGATGGGCGTATAACAATGTTATTGGAAATGGCTGCTCCACGTTCATTCCTTGCTGTACACTGATATACTCCTTCATATGCTTCTGTCTTTCCGCCATTCATAATGTTTATTACAAGGGTTCCTGAGTTTGGCTTCACTGTTACCCGTGCATCTTTATCTATATCAAAATGAGTTCCATTACGGGTCCATGAGAAACTAGAATCATAAATACAAGAATAGGAAACTAATTACTAAAGATTTGGAAAAAAACAAGAAAAATAACTTCAGAAAACTCTTAATACCATAGAGATTTTTGTGTGTCGCATAAAAATGTGGCTTAAGAACAATATATTTGAATTATTTAATTGGGAAATGAGTAATGAACACACACGCTTTGAGATAAAAGACTTGGCTACACTTGTTAATAGGTGCCATTTTAAGGTCAGCAGTTTTGCTATATATTATTTATATTATTTAAAATGACAAATTATAAATTATTTATAATATTTATATTATAAAATTACACAGAAGGATTGATAAGCTAATCACAGAGAAAAAAATACTTTCATTTTCCACTAAAGATGATACAGTGAAATCTGCTAGAATTGATATTGTTAAAGCTGCATTAGCATTTCCATTATAAACTCCATTATTCAAAGGGTTTATAACTGGCCTGTAAGAATTTGCTCTGGGCTGAAATGTGTCATATAAGGTCTCAGCAGGAGATCATGTCTCTTAATTGGTTTGTCCATTTTTTAAGTTACCAGAGTGAATAAAAAGGTAATATTGTGGATTTGATTGCTTTTCATTACTCTAATGCAAACAGTTGTGATTCTATACATTAAATTTTGCATTTGCGTAGGCCATAACCAATCTGTTACTTTTGGTGTTACCTAAAACAACTGATGTTTTGTAAAGTAGCTGCTGAGAACATACAGTATAACAATTCATAAAGATTTCTTTTCAGGAAAAGAAATAGATCCATAGTATGCCACTCCTACTGCTCTAAAAATGCATTCATAATATATATTCTCTTACTTCCAAAAATACATTGATACAATGCTAGGATCGTGATTATATGGCTTCACCTCATGAAGTGCTGAGCACATACAACCCCAAGTGCAGTCAGTGGGTGCTGCTGATACTTATTACCTCTCAGGATCAGACCCTTAAACATACAAAAGTCGGCCATACGTTGCACATTTATATTTGATTACTAGTGAGATTTTTACATATAAATCTAAATACATGTAGTACAAGTGAAATTCAACCAACTCAGCAGGGTTCACACAGCTTAAACTGTGGTATGTCCTCCTATGGTTGAACAGTGCAGGAGATTTCTGTAATCCATGAGCACCACGAGTGGAAGGTAGATGGGGTTCAATTTTAGCTTCAGATAGATAGATGTGGAATAGGCAATGTAGGAGCCTGAACTTGGAACACCGAGATTAAAAGCATGAGTTTCCGTTGCTTGAGCTAAAAAGACAGCTTGTTAGCTAGAAGCAGTAGCACACTCAGAAGCCTCAATCTATGGTTTAGTCCAGGGGTTTTCAAACTTCATTGCACTGCGACCCCCTTTTGACAACAAAAATTACTACACGACCTCAGAGAGGGGACCAAAGCCTGAGCCCACCTGAGCTCCACTGGGCCCAGGGGGTGGGGCTGGACAAAATCCAAGCCCTGCCGCGCTGGTGGTGAGGGCCAAAGCTTGAGCCCTGTCACCCTGGATTGGCGGGGGGGGAACAAAGCCCAAGGGCTTCAGCCCCAGGAGGGGGGCCTGTAACCTGAGCCCCGCCACTCAGAGCTGAAGCTGTTGGGATTTGGCCCCAGGCAGTGGGGCTCGGGCTTTGGTCCCAGGCTCCAGCAAGTCTTTCAGCCCACTTTGGGGTACTGACCCACAGTTTGAGAATCCCTGGTTTATTCAATAGCAGGGGACAAAGAGGTACATTGCATTAACCCTCTCCCTGGCAAACTTCAGAGTTCCATAGCCGTGCTAATTCCCACTTGTGTCTGCAGGGATCTAACCCAGAGCCACTTGGTCTAAAAGATGAGCCTCTACTGCTTGACCTATTGGATCAAGTCAATTAGCTCAATCAAAAAACAGTATTTGGTCACATAGTGCCTATGAAAATAGGCATAACTAAACTAAGGTTGTCCCCATCTCATCACTTCTTCCCTCCCTTCTTCCCCCGCTTTTCTTTGGAAAATGCACTAGAAAATTCAAGCACTTCACAAACTACAGTAAGCATTACAAATTCATCATCTCACTCAACACAGAGAGTTTTTAGAGAATGTCATTACCTCAGTTAGAATAGAAATCCTGGTGCTGCATTAACTCTAGAGATGCTACCGCACTCTATAACAGACGTGTGACATTAAAAACATCTTACAATAAAAACATTGAGAGCACAGGAGAGAAAGTCTCCCTGCTCTCGGGTCTGGTGTCCAGCATCACAACTGCCCCCAGATGCCAGAAGGAACAATTCCATGAGAAGTCCTGCTCAGCCCTGGGTTGGAGTATGTCTATGAACTCTGTGGGGTGAAGAATGCTTAGTGTAGTTTGCATAGAGCACTGTGTGAGTGGAGCATGCTCAATACACAAAGGGTACGTCTATACGTACCTCCGGGTCTGGCCGTAAGCAATTGATCTTCTGGGATCGATCCCGGAAGTGCTCACCGTCGACGCCAGTACTCCTGCTCGGCGAGAGGAGTACGCAGAGTCGACGGGGGAGCCTGCCTGCCACGTGTGGACCCGCGGTAAGTTCGAACTAAGATAGTTGGACTTCAGCTACGTGAATAACATAGCTGAAGTTGCGTATCTTAGTTCGAAGTGGGGGGTCAGTGTGGACCAGCCCAAAATGTTTGGTGAACTTTACTTCCAGCTTCTATCAAACCTCTACTGAACATATAGAAATGGTAATTTTCAGATGTTTATAAATTGAATAAATTCAGGTGGATTTTCATGAGGACACCAAAAAGAACCTCTCTTTGATCCCATAGTCACATCCCTAAATATTTTCAAGACCCCACTCTAAAAACTGGAGGGAATTAGAGGTTCTCAACAAAAGTTGTAAGATTTTTTTTTTAACATTGGCAAAACAATATATATTTGCTTACCCTCATTCTAGAAAACAGCTGAACGCTTTCTGCTGAAACTTTGCAAACAATTCAGCCTAACATGCAGACATGTAGCATAGAAAATTTCAGCCAGAATTATTAAAAATTGGTAAAATTATAAGCAACTGAAAAGAGGGTCTTATAATGGAATTATAGAGAGCCTTAACTATAGGCAGCACCACCACCTCTGCCTCTAATATATTGTGAGTAATATGAAAGCTATAAAATAAACCTAGAAAATCAAGGACACTCAAGTTTAAGCTGACACACATTCCTTAGCTCATTGCATTTTGCTCACAAAATTGTACAATTTAGAAATCATGGAATACATCAATCAAGGAAATAATGGTGTAGACCATGGATGAATTTGAGACCTCCACTTTCAGCCTTGTTATAGCAGTTATGTGTGCTCATACACCACCTGCATTTTAGAAATTCCACCAGGATATCCAGGGATGGAAGGTGATCAGACCAGTGCTATGATATGCTTTGTAGTGCCCCCCATGCACAGCTGACTACTCCTCTTACCGTAATGATCCCCTTACTGATTTTCCTAGTGAAAACTTTAAGAGGATGTTTCAAAATGGTAACGCAATACATTTTTAGACTGTTTCTATGGTACTGTTGTTCAGTTCAATGTCCTCAGCACTTTTATGAGAAGGGCTCACTTAATGCAGATATTATTACTATTATAAAAATAACAAGGATGGTAAACATAAGACTTCACACTGATTTGATGTTACTACTTTAGTTTAGATTAGAAAAGTTACTTCATTTCCTCTTAGTTTTCATATTTGTTATTCTAGATTTTCTACATTATTTCTGTAACAGCAAAGACAATAAAAAGTAGTACTAACCTAGGAGGTGGCTTTCCTTTTGCTTCACATTGTATTACAATATTCTCTCGAGGGTCAACAATGTAGTCTTTTGGAGATTGCTGAGTTATTGTTGGAGGCTGTGATACTTTATTGCAGAACATAATTAAGAAACATTAAGAAACAATGATATTTTCAAGGTACCAACACATCAGTTTTATAGGCAGAAAAGACAAAATTAGCAACAAAAAACTGGTATTAAAGTATCCTTTGCATTCAAAAGGCAAGATGCTCTACTGTTGTAAATCAGGTTAGCTCTATTCACTTCAATGAAGCTGTACTGATTTACCACAACTGAAGACCCTTCCCAAGAGGTTTCATGGATGTTCCTTGTTTAATATACTACAGATATACTCATTCAATATTTGTGAAGTCAAAGGACACCTGAATCCTTAAAGCCAACAAATATTTCAAAACAAACAAACAAACAAGAGCCTCAATTTACACTTGAAAAGAGCTCTCTTCAGTGTACACAAACCAATCAAAAGTGATGTACATTGTTTTCAGTTTATAAACACTGGATGTGTTTCAAACACTCCAAGTAGGAGTCCAGTTTGCACTAAATTTCAGTGGTAACATGACTAATTCACACTTGAGGTATGATTTACGGAAAACTACATTTCAGGAGTAAAAGAATTTTTGCATAAACTTGTACCTGAAAGTCTGAATAAAGCTTAAGTGTTTAGAAAAATAAGTATATCCAGATACTGACACATTTGGGAATTCTGTATCAAAAATAGCACTTGCAAAATTTTTCCATTTTATTCTCCTAGTACTGAACAAACCTAAAATGGATTTTGCATTTTCTACCTTTTCCATAAAATAATAAGGAATATCCATTTTGCTGAATTGCCCAAGGATGAACAAGAGATGTCAGGGTCAGTCAAGTGCTCAAGAATGATTGGCATGGTTTGAAACTCATTCCCCTGGTGAAGGAGTTGGTGCCAATCTATGTAAAGTAATTTGCAATCATTTACCACTGACTGCACCTCTCTTTGCACAGAAAGGAATGCAAAATTTCATGACAAAAAAAGGAGTTGCAGACAGTGACAATCAATGTCTTACTGCATATCTCACTCTCAATCTGTTTTACACTACAGTGGCTGCCAGGGTATCATTACAGTAGTTCAGAGTTCTATCCCTGAATATGTTCAGCTTTAAATAAATAAAGTCAATGAAATCCCTTGGCCTATGACTTCCTCACATATTCTGCTTTTTTCCAGAGTAAATTCCTCTGAAAACAAATGTAAATTATTGTGCACGTAAGCATGTACACGCCAGTATACACTTAACCACTGAATTATCTGAACTGATCTGTAAGGGTATCATCCTGAAACCCTTACAGAGGTAAAAAAATGTTCACTGAGAAAAATATTCACCATAAAGTTCCCTTGGACACTTGTGTGTGTAAGGATTGTAGCACTGGGACCTTAAGATTGCGCTAAACATGCTGCAAAGGAGTCATAAAACAACTACGCATGATTTTCCAGCTAGAAGTTGGTTAGTACCTCAAAATTAGAAGAAGTCTTAGTAACAAGGATCCTGATCCTAACAATGGAAGTTGAGAGTGCACAGCATCTCACAGGAGGTGTTCAAGTGCCTCACAGTACTGGGCCCTAACTGTCACACTAACAGGAAGGTACTGAAATTCTGAGAGCCAATCTTTTTTACAAATTTTGGACAGTTTTCATTAACTCATTGCAAAAGCATATTTCTCTATTTGACTAGTTAATACATATCTTGAAAAGAGAAAGAGAAATGGTTTCACAAGGGGCCAACCATTCCAGGATATACTTCCCAGTGCGCTGTAGTGGGAGTTGAACATCCCCATTTCCTGGAAATGCAAGGTGGATATGTCCAAATACCATGGTAACATGGCATAGTATAATATCCTATATAGAACAGAACAGGTCCTTCAGGGTTAGCATCTCCTTTCCTCCCTCACTGCATACAGGAAAGTGATTGGGAGGTTTTCTTCCCAGGAGGATGACTCTTCACATGTTACTGTAGAGAAGCAGTCAGAGGCTAGTTCTTTTCCCTCTGAGGAACAGTTCTCAGGGCCAGTACACCCAGTGTTCTAAGATGGCAAAAGTGCTGTCTGAAAAGGGGTACAATCTGAGCACTTTTGTAATACAGTATATTGATAGTATCTGATGCACAATAAGACCTCAATCCAGCATCAAGACCTGAAAACATTCAAACCTATGTGGAGTCCCATTGTACTTGAACTCACTGGACTCAAGATGGGCACAATGTCCGTGTTAGTGCATCCTGAAGGAAGACTGGACCTAGTTTATTTACTGTTTGCACTGTTTAAAAAGAAATAAAAATTTCTCCACCTTCAGAGGTATAAAAAAATGAGTGGGTCATATTGTCCCTGCCTTATGCATGCACACCTCTCAATGAATTCAAATGTTTTTACTCCTGAAAGTAGCAATAGCAAATTGCTTTTAAAAAAAATAATAATTGTAAACGCTTACTGTTCAGGTAAAGTAAAATCAAATTGTGTTTGAATGATTTATTTTATAAAAATACCTTCAAGCTGACATGTATACAATAGTGTTTTCTTAACACTGCGTGCACAAAACATTTAGCCACAGCAAACACAACTGTGAATAAATACCAGATCCACATTATTTGGACTTTACACTTAATGCTCAACAAAATAAGTATTAATTTTAAGCAGCACACATTTTATTTTTCACTATCTATTTTTTTGTGGACAGAAACTTACATTCTTTGAGAAGTATTGCTTTTCCCCCCATCAGAATCAGCAGGTGAATGGGCAAACAAAGATTAAAGAGAATCATTTGTTAGTAAGAAGAAACTTAGCATCTTAGAGAGGGAAGGTAAGTATCTCTGATATATACGTGGTCATTTATAAAGAGAACATTTTACCACACCGTAATATCTGAAATACTAAAAATGTTTCCCACTGTGTCAGGAAATACTACAGTAGCTCAGATTCCACTGTATAGGAAACTGCTCTGAAATGCTCAATTTTTAATGGCAACCATGGTATGTGGCACTGACCTAAAAAGGACATAGAATATTGATTTGGAAGTATTGAGGAGACAGGAAATCAGAATTAATAGAGTGCATTGCCCTCATGCTGCAGCCAAAATCAATCTACCCATATGACCATATGGAAATACAAAGGAAATGCTTAAAGCTAAAATAACTCTTACAAACACAAAAGCATCTAACTCTATTCCACAGACATGCAATTAATTTCAATTTGAAAAATAACTGAAAAGTACAATTAATCTTCCCTGTCACATGCTACACTATATGATCTCATCCTTATACCAGTTACTTTGCATATGGTCCCATCTTCAATAATATTTCAGAGAATGAAAAGATGAAAACTACCTTTCATTATCTACACTGTTGATCATCCCTTGGTCACACTGAGATAATTAAGAATTTTCTGATTGTTTTTACCATTATTTATAAAAACAATAATTTAGCTACAGACATTTGTTCAGATTCTTTGTTTTCTTCGTTAATGGATATTTATCTGTATCAGCTGAAAAATCTCTGCCTCTATATTATATACTCAGACAGAATTACTGAGGTCAAGGTAGGAGGGCATACTTCTTTACTGTTAAGAGCTGGCATGGTATAGGTAAGAGGTCCATTTGTGCTGTCTATTGAAGGCAGGTTAATCTAATCTAAAGCATTGCTTTTACTGTCTTTCATGTGCCCAGATACCACTGTGATGGGCACATTAAAATCATTCAAATAAACTATATACATTTCAAACCTAAGAAGGGGGTTCAATTATTTTTCTTTTTATTGTGTAAAATTTAAGAGCCAGGGAAACAAATTCTACTTAGAAAACACAGGTATTTGTACCTCATGCTTTAAAAATCACTGAACGGCAGTTTAGTAATGTAGTGCTGTAAGGGCATTTACAAGTCCAGTCTCATTTAGCTATATTGATTTTGTTATAGAAATGAAGGTCATTAGTTAGAAATATTTGGGAAATGTGTAGGGAAAAACACGAAATGCTTGCAATTTAGGTGTACTGTTATTAAAGAAAAACAAGCATTTACAGTAGCGGATGTAGACATATGTTTGTGGAAGATTATAATTTAGAGACGCTCCCTCATAAGGGACAGTATTATGAATATAAGAATTTAGAGATGTACGCTGGAAGATGGCACTGAGAACATTATGTAGCTGTGTACAGCAGTTCACCACAGAATCTCTCTAGTTTGTTTTATTAAAAATTTTATTCCTTTCTCATTCATTGGTTTGTTGCTTAATGAACCCCAAGATCATTACAGTAGATAATTGTTTATTACAGACAACACTGCGGTAAAGGAAACCATGCAGATTAGAGACATCAGTGAATTTGCTCACATATTAATCCCTGTTATCATTGGTCCTGAATTGTCCTTTCAGACAATTGGATTAAGACAGGCATAGCACCTAAGGGGGAACTTGTGGCTCAGAATTCTGAAACATGGCCCATGACCATACTGATCTTCAAAATGGAAGTGCAGCCAGATGCCTTGAATGCCCTGAATAAAGTTGCAGAACTACCTTCTTGCCTTTTAGTCCCTGCAGGCTACACCACTAGCTCGAAGATGAAGGGAGCTGTTTTACACCAATTAGGAATCTACCTCAGACTCCCAGCAAATTGCCCATATAACCCTTGGTGTAGCAAAGTTTGAGTTTCCCTGTCTTAAAATTAACATCTATTAAATTTTCCGTTAAATATGACTAGATTTAAACTGGGTTTCTTCGTTCTATGTGGTTATAATCAACGGAAGTGTTCAATACAGGAACATAGCAATTGCTGCACTGGACCAGAGTGATGGTCCATCTAGTCCAATGTCCTGTCTCTAACAATGGCCCGCACCAGATGTTTTAGATGAAGGTGTAAGAACTCCACAGTAGATAGATGTAGGGTAATCTGCACCCCCACATTAGGTCTCATCCCAGTCTGTAATAATTATAGATTGTCGTAAACCCAGAAACACGGAGTTTTCATACCCTTCCAAAATTGTCATTTGTGTTACCTACAACAACTTCTGGATATTATTCTTATCCATATAACAATCCAATTCCTTTTTAAATCTTGTTAAGTTCTTAGCCTTAGCAACTTCCTGCAGCAGTGAGTTCCACAGTCTAATTACATATGTGGAACAGTTACTCCTGGGGGAATTCTGTGCCATTGCACAATGCAGAATTTTGCAGAAATTAACATTGTGCATACAGAATTTCCTTTCCCCCACAGAAATGGGCTTCAGTGCTGTGGGCCACCACCAGGGGCCACTAGACCAGACAGAGCCCAGCTCACACATAGAAGACACTGCTGGGGGGGAGGAGGAGGAAGCTAGAGGGTTCCTGGCAGCTGCAGTTATCAGCACATCCTCAGGGAAGGAGACGGCAGCACGCAGGAAGCTCCATGAAAGCCTGGGACCAAGCATCAGGCTGTTTCGCCCTCTGGATCCCTGGGCTCTGGGGTGGGTATTTGGGCTGGGGGAGCCACGGCTTGGCTCTGGGGGCGAGAGAGGGTGGATGTCTGGGCTCTGGGGGACGAAGGGGGTATCTGGGCAAGGGTGGGCCCTGCGGCTGGGCTCTGGGAGGAAGTATCTGGGCCAGGGGGGCCCCACAACTGGGCTCTGCAAGGGAGAGGTTTGGGTATATTGGCTGGAGGGGTACCATGGCTGGGCTCTGGGGGGGAGGAAAGGGGGCAGAGAAACAGGAACTGGGTTTTCATAGGGGTTTCTTTAACTCTCTACT